AGGGTCAGGGTTAGGGTCAGGGCCAGGGCCAGGGTCAGGGTCAGGGTCAGGGTCAGGGGTCAGGTCACGGGTAGATGCCTGACACCGCACGCTTTGTGATGACCGCAGTCGGCGGCCGGCGGGCAGGCGGCGCGCGGGCCTCGGTATCTTGGAGTGGAACGGGCGACTGACGCCGCGGGACTCTAGGATTGGCGAGAGAGCGAGCAAGAGAGCGAGCGAGCGAGGGAGCGAGGGAGAAAGCGAGCGAGGGAGCGAGGGAGCGAGGGCGAGCCGCGATCACCACACACCGTGTCTGCGCGGCCGAACTGGCAGCAGATGTGCAGCGGCGTCATCCCCTCGCGCGTCGTGTCGTCAAGGTTCGCCCTCGCGCCGAGAAGCACCTTGACCATGTCGTCGTGACCGCGCTCCTACCAGGCGCGGGCACAGGCTTCCGAAAAGGGCGGGCCTCGGCGTGGCGGGGTGGGCAAGACACACCGCCGCGACGCCGAGCGGGGTGACGCCCGAGGTCGAGTTGCGGGCGTTGACCGAGACACCTCTTTTGATCAGGCGCTGCACCTTGACGAGGTCGTTGGCCTGGGCTGCCATTCCCATCTTGTCACCAAGCCGCACTGTTTCGGCCGGCTTGCTGCGCCCGTGGCCGAGGTCGACCGTGCGCAAACCGCCCATGTTGATCGTCCTCCGCTCGACGTCCTCGGAGAGAACGGCGTCGAGCTCCTGGAGGCGGCAGAAGTCGGTGCGCGGAGCCTGATCTCGGCCGCTGTGGCTCCTGCCGGACATTTTGCTCGGGCGAGCTCAAACGTTCAGGAAGCCGCCGGAAAGAGGGGGGCCGCCATGCTGCTGCGGGTCCCCGTCGCCCGGGGTCGGAGGGGTGGGCACGACCAGTAGGGACTCCCTCCCCCGGGCCCCGCTCTCAGTTGGGGCCTCCGCGGCCGAGTGGGAGATATTGGATGGGAAACGGGTCGATTTGCAAACTGGGCGCCGGGCCCGGCGGGCCCGGCTCGGGCCCCTGTCGGGCCCGGCTCGGACCCGTGCCGGGCCCGGCCCGCGCGCCCTGCCGGGCCCGGCTTGCCCCTCGTAGAAATTCTTTTTTTTGGCATGGAGACGCCACCCCGTTTTTCTCCTCCTCTTGGTCCCTTCTGATGCCCTAGGCCACGCCTCACACCTGGGCCTTACCCGGGGTCCTAGGGGGCGGGCAGGGTTTGCCCCCCGAAACTGGCATCAGAAAGAAAGAAAGAAAACAGGAAACAAGAAAGAAAGAAAACGGCCAACCCAAGGGAGGGATGGGAGGACGGCACGCCGCCACCACACAGGGATTTTAAGGAGAAACAGACAACCCAAGGGAGGGATGGGCGACGAGCTTTTTGAGCTTAGCCTTCGATGTTATGAAACAAACGCAAGGCGGACATGGCATATCGCTCTCGGGCCCACAGACATCCCGCACACTCGCCGCACACCCGCCGCCCCCGCGCGCGCCCCGCCCCGGCCGGGAGAAAGGGGAGTGACAGTTTGGGATGGCAACAGAACGAGTATGTTGAGTCCTGGCTCAACAACGCAGAGAGAAATGAAAGCTGTCCGGCTCCCAAGTCCGGCTCACGCGCCCCGACTGACCGATCTACCGCACTGAACACTTCCGCCCCCTCGCTCCCAACCCATCCACCCCGCCCCGGGCCGCGCCGCGCGATCTCGGGCCGCGCGATCTCGGGCGATCTCGGGCCGCGCCGCGTGACCTCGGGCGGTCTCGCACAATCTCGCGCAATCCCGGAGCTCCACGCCACGCCACTCCACCCCACCCCACCTCACCCACCGCCGCGCCGCGCTATCTCGGGCGATCTCGGAGCGTCGCTCGCGCGGCGTCACACCTGCTCAAAAAAAGGAAGGGCCTGGTTGGAGCCACGGGGCTCACGAGGACGTGCTCGCTCGGTTCTCGCCGCCTCGCCCTGCGCCACTTGGGCCGGTGAGGCGGCGCCCCGCGCGGCGCGTCCCTCGCCCCGTCACGCCGACCCCTGCGCGTACCGCTCATCTTCAGCCCTCTCGGGGTTACTCTTGCGCTCACGCAGGGGAACCCGGCGGGACTCCCTTCCCCCCACCTCCGACGGGTTAGGTCGGTTCTGCGCCCCTTGGCGCCTGTGCATGTCCCGCGTGCCCGCCTGCCAGGGCTGATGCCAAGGCCAAATCAACAACATGCCCGGCTGATGCCAGGGCCAAACCCACTGCCTGAGAGAGGGACAGAAGGAAAGGAAGGAGAGGATACGAGAAATGGAGTGGGCGGCGAATGCGTGTATTTGCTGGCGACGGAGGCGACATCGACAACGTGATGCCGAGGAGAAGGAAAGGGAAGAGGCAGAGAGACGCCTCGAAGCGGGGAGAGGCAGAACGACGAGAGCGATGGGGATGACACTCAAAACGACCCACTGCGAGCTCGAAGGCGAAGGCCAGCGCAGGAAACGCGGTGATAGGAACGACGATGCGGCGAGCGCCGGAGGGAAGCGACGACAGCGAGGGGACGAGGACGGCGAGCAGAGAGGAGAACAGACGGCGAGCGGCGCACGCGAGGGCGACCACGCAGGAGAAAACAGACGGCACGAGGGGAAGGAAACGCGGCCCGCCAGGAAGCGAAGGCAGACGGCAAGATACGTCGCCGGACCAGCGACAGGAAGCGCAGGAAAACAAAAAGAACAAGACCAGGAGCATGGAGACGAGGGAAGGCGCGAGGCGCTCCGCCGACAAGCAGCAGAGGCGGCGGCGAAAGTAACGACGGCCATGCTAACGACGGGCGGCACGGTGGAAGGGGCGAAGGTAGGCCCCTCTAGCATAGCGGAAGGGGAACTCGGCCTACTGGCGACGAGGAGGCTAGAGAAATTTGAGGTGTGTAGCATCTACACTGGGGAGATCTTCCGGACAGGAACGGCGCAGCCACCAGAGACAGCACCAGACGAACTATCACGACACACGGCAGCAGGGGGGACGCAGCTGGATGGAAGTGACGACGAGAGCGGGGACGACTTTGACAGCGTCGCGGTGTAATTTCGACTGGCCTGCAGCATCGAATGAGCCGAAACGAGGCACGAGGGCGACGCACTTCGTACGCTACGAGGAGATACAATTAGGCAAGGCAGCTGCGCAGGTGATGGTCCTGTTTGCAGAGAGGGGAGTCAAGGAAGGCCAAGAAATCACATGGTCATATGGGGACTCATACAAGAGCCACCGCAAGGAGATGGGATACAGGGCGGGGACCAGGGCGGATCCGAACGCAATAACACCCCAGCAAGCGCGGACGGCATTCGCGAGATACTGCAAAAAGATAGACGTGACGAAGGAGGAGCTAGCGTGGAACTTTGGATGCATATCGGCAAGCCAAAATAACGAGCAGGAGGCTGTCCTGGTGCGTGAGCTAATCCTGAGCAACAATAAACGACTGTACCACGGAGCACAGAGCGCAGCAGACAGGACGGCGGCGACGGCGGACATGGCAGAGACGAGTGTGAAACAAAGGGCGGCGGGCACGTTGGGCGGTAGCGACGGGGATGGTGACGGTGACGGTGGCGAGGGAGAGGAAGGGGGTCCATTAACACCAGACAGCGAGAGGGGCAAGGAGGAAAGGGGGAGAGAGGAAGCCAACGCGACGTGCGCAGAGGATGAGGATATAAACTGGGACGACGCAGCGGAGGGGATAGGCGAGGGAATCGAGGGACCGGAGGGCTTTCGCGACAGCGACGATGACGACGAAGAAAGGGGAGGGAACGGAGGGGCGACACGCAGGAGGGGCGAAATCGCTAACGGCCCGAGCAGAGAGGGCGACGGCAGGGCACGAGGGAACAACGGAGACGCTACCGATGACGCGAACCGAGGCACGGACGCCGGCGGGGACGGGGAGGGCGACAGCGACGTCGAGGTTGACGCAACCGTATCGAGAGCGCCACCCAAAAAGGGGCGGACAGCCATGGAGGTCACCGAATGGAGGGCGAACGGCACGATACGAAAAGGCAGGGCGAGGCGGATGGAGAAAGAAGTGCCGAGAAGGCCATGGTGGAGGGGAGGGACGGGAGGACGAAAGAAGGGCGAGGAGGACGAGCGGCCCTCACAGACCGCGAGCAGACAGCGCCTGCTGGCCATTTCGAGACATTCGCCAAGAACGCTAGCTACATGGGAGGGCTTCGTGAAGGATGGATTGAAAAACATTCGAACAAAGAAGAGGCGACGGGAGGAACCGGCGGAGGATGCAGTGACGTGACACACACACACACACACACACACACACACACACACACACACACACACACACACACACACACACACACACACACACACACACACACACACACACACACACACACACACACACACACACACACACACACACACACACACACACACACACACACACACACACACACACACACACACACACACACCACACACACACACACACACACACACACACACACACACACACACACACACACACACACACACACACACACACACACACACACACACACACACACACACACACACACACACACACACACACCGCTCACCCACGCGCACTGGGCCTTGCACTTTGAATGCCGTGGGGCTCCTGTCGTCAGACGTGGAGACGCGAGGGTTGCCCCCCTTGCCCCACCACCTCGTGTGTGTGGAGAAGTTTACCTTACCTTACCTTACCGGCTGGTGCCAAGGCTCAATGACTCTCCTCTCCGTCTCTTTCCCCCCCCCCGCCCAGACAGGACTGATCCGCACGACACACGACGCACTCTCTCCTACTATCCGACAGACGCTGCTTGGCCGACACGGGACGCTCTGACAGGACACTACTGAGACGACTACCTCTACTCCCTACCGCTACTACTCGACTGGCGGCGCTCGCGGCGCCACGCCACCCATCCTCGGCCACGCGTTGCGCTGGGTGATCTCCCAGTTGCGCCTCGCAATGATGGCCGAGTGCTGCTGCAGGAGGCGCTTGCGCTCGTTGCGCACTCGCCACTTCTCGCCGTCGGAGCGCGCCAGGGCGACCTTGGCGGCGAAGCCGGTGGTGAACCACTCCGCCGCCTCGCGGCCAATGCCGCCGCGTGTGCTCGCCGCCCACGTCATGAAGTCGTAGTTGTTGGCCGCGCACGCCGCGGCCTTGGCACTCCGCTTCGCCTCCTCGGCGTAGTCGGTGGCGAGGTGCTTGCCTCTCGCCAGCGGGCCCAGCATGCCTTTACGGAACTGCACTGCGGTGATGATCGTGCCGTCAAACACCATCCTGCGTGCCGAGCGCGTCCAGTTGCCAAGGACGCCGTCCCCCCGCTGGTTCGGGTTGGACTCCTTGTCGACGGCTCGGTTGGGGTCTCTGGGCCCGAGCTTCACCTCCTGGAGGCTCCCCGCCGCGCCGAGGGCGCGGGCCATGGCTTTTTTATTTTCGCGATATCATTACGACTTCGATGTGGTGCGGCAGCTTGCTCCTGGCCTCGCTCGCTGGTTCGGCGGCGCTGCATTTACCTCTTAATGTCGGCGCCCCAACCGCATCGCTGCTTCGCCAGCCGCACCCACTTTTGCTCTACCAGCGTTCACCGAGTCAGGTATCAAAGCAACGCGAAGACACCAAGAAGAGAACGGTCGAAAGACGCCAGGCTGACGCACAAAGGCGAGCATCGACGCTTGCAGCGGCGAAGAAACGGGCGGCAGCAGCGGCGGCGAAGAAACGGGCGGCCGCGGCGGCGACGAAGAAACGGGCGGCCGCGGCGGCGGCGAAGAAACGGGCGGCCGCGGCGGCGGCGAAGAAGGCGGCGGCAGCGGCGGCAAAGAAACGGGCGACGCCGGTCAAAACGAAGGCCGTTCGACCCACTACTGGACCGCAAAATGACGACCTCCTGCGTGGCCGCGTGCCTGTCGCGATACCGCCATCGCCGCCATCGCCTTCCCTGGCCCCCTCCAGCGGCGCTGCCGGCGGCATCGGCGAGTTTGCGCCGCTCGCTGTCGTCTCCTGCGCCTCGCTCCTCCTGTTCGCCAAGGCCACCGCTGCGCCAAAGCCGCCGCCGGGTGTCGGCCTTCCAGTCGTGCTGCTCGCCGCTACATTCATCGCTGCGCTGGTGCTGCCGGCCGAGCCCACCTCAATCGCGCCCGATGACAGCTCAACGGCGGCGGCCGCTGCTCACGACGAGGCGGCGGTTGAGGAGGATCGCGATCCGAGTGAGGGAGCCTCGCGCGCCCGCAAGAACCCTCTCCGGCGTGTCCTCTCCCGCCTTCGCGGCCGCACACCCGCCGAAACCGCGGCCCCGAGCGCCTAGAGTAGTAAGTACACAGTCAGCCGCCTGGCGTTTTGTGTCACTGTGCAGTCTCCTGCCCACTCGACTTTGTGGGCAGCGCGGCCGCCCCCGCCCCATCGACGCCCGCTCAGACTCTGCAATAATAATTATTTCAAATTCTTTTTGAGCTAGCCTTCGATGTTATGAAACAAACGCAAGGCGGACACACGCACATCGCTCTCGGGCCCACAGACATCCCGCATACAGATACACCCGCCGCCCCCGCGCAGGCTCGCCCCACCCCGGGCCGGGAGAAAGGGAAGTTCTCCACTGTGGCGGGACGGCCAACGTGCAACGATGAGACGCGGCAGCTCACCGGCTGGCTCTACGAGACGGCCTGCTGCGAGGGTCGGTACTCCAGCTCAGCGTCACGTCGCCGTTGGCGCCGATGCTCGCAGCGTTGCCGCAGTCGCACCGAGGGCTCCCATGACAATCGGCACGTGTGGCCCAGGCGGGCTTCGCGTGACCGTTCACCGTCACGTTGGTGAACGTGAGGCTTGGAGCCGCGGGCATGCGGTCGCATCGCTCGTCCACGTTGATATTCTCATTCACCAGCATGGCGTAGTCGTAGTCGGCCCTGCCCGCGCGGCTATGCGCGATGTGCAGCGTCGAGTCCTCCCCCGACTCTCGATTCGTGCCCGAGACGGTCCACGTGCTCCCGTCGGCAGAGAGGCGCATGTAGCTCGTGATGCGGTCGCCGGGCTGCACATCCACCGCGGGCGCCGTCGCCACCGGAAACCGCCGGTCGTTCGCATCGACGAACCACGACTGGAGAGCCCACGCCCGGCCGCGCTCGCCGTACTGCAGCACCGGCTGCAGCACCGGGTAGCCCATCTCTGGCGCGGTTGCCTTGAAGCCCGGCCAGAAGTAGACCACCTGGCTGCCGCTGACCTCGGCTGACCTCGGCTGACCTCGGCTGACCTCGGCATTAGGACAACAAGTGGAGATTAGCCGAGATTCAACCGAGCTGCGATGCGAGATGCGATGCGAGATGCGATGCGAGATGCGATGCGAGATGCGATGCGAGATGCGATGCGAGATGAGGGGACTGAGACGCCATCAGCCTTCAGACGCCATCAGCCTTCCCCTTCAAACCACCCTCTCCGAGCATCATTTCCTCTCGACCACCCGCCTTCAATCGCCCCTCCGCCGCCCCTCCCTCCTCGTCCCCTATCCATCCCCAGCACACATGGACATGGACATGGGGTTGCGCTTGGCGTGAACGGCGTCTCTTCACACCCCTTGCTGTGAAGCAGGTCGTACAAGGAGGGGCTCAAGGACGCGCAGCTCACGTGGGAAGCCGACTGGGCGTAGAAGTAGAGCCGGGGAGAGGGAGGGGGGAGGGGCTCGGCGCGCGCTGCGGAGCCGGGGCAGCCAGGGCGCTACGGCAAGGCTGCAAGCCCGCGCAGCCGCGCCAGACGCTTAGAGAAAAGACGTTGCGCGCACGCACCTCCTGGTGGTGAGGAACAGGAAGGTGGCCGGAGTCTGGTTCGGATCACGGATGGGCTATATGTAATCTTTTTTGCGAGCACGCCGCGTCGTTCTTCGTTCTTCGTGGCATGACCTCCGCCTCGCTTGCTCGTGCTCGTGTCTGCGCGTCGACTATTATGTGATCAATCTCCCTTCCCCCCCTGTGCGTCGCGACGCCCGTGCCCAGCGACTCCATTTGTTCGGTCTCTAGCAGGTCTTCCATCTCCATGTCCGCCGTCCCCATTTGCCGCCCTCTTTCCTCCACCCATTTCCGCGTGACAGCATTCATGTCGCCGATGATGAGCACCCTCTCGTGCGTGTCGTGTCGTATCGCTTCTTTGAGCTCCTTCCACGCCTTGACGATTTCGTCATTGCTCTTTCCTGTGTCGGGCATATACGCGCCGTACACGCTGATTCGGTGTTTCCCATCGAGTGTTTCGAGTACCACCCTCCTTACTCGTGCAGCGATTATGTCGACCTCCTGTGTTCTGGTTCAACTTTTTTGAGTTTGTCGGTGTTCCATACGATGGTCACGCCACATCTCGTTCGCCCGCGTCCGCGCTTGTCGTTTTGCGGGTCGCTGCTCGTGCCCGCCCCCGATGTTGCTCCTGTCTGCCCTCACGTCTCGAGCCGGTCAGCGAGACCGCACCGCTGTTTGACGCGCAGACGACGCCGCCGTACTGCGATGCGAGGAGAGAGCGGGGTGAGGCAGCCGTGGCCCTCTCTCTCTATGAATCTCGTCTCTTCCCGCGCTGCCGTGACGCGCCGCAGCTGATGCGCCGCCATCGAAGCTGGCGTCGGACGACGGCGTCGACGGGAAGAGACTTCCAGCCGACCAGAGGTTGTTCGCGACCCACGTTGTGTTGAACGATCCGAGACTCTCAACAACCTCGACACATGAGTCGCGAACGGCGTCCCAACGAGAGATGATTCTCGCTCATTCACACGCCTTGTTATTGACAAGAAAATACGTCATTTGGCGCTGTGCGCTGGTCTATGACAGGTTGAGGTGCGAGCCCTGGAGGCCCTCAGGATGGGGGGAGACTGCCCGCGGGCCTAGCAGGCCCGCGCGCAGGGGGGTGGGACATTGAGATTGGACCACGCAGCGCGATGGAGGCCTCGCAGAGGAGTCGCCACATCCATGTGCCAACGGGGCGCGAGAGCGACCGACAGCTTGCCTTCTCGTTTCTCGACGCCAAGCTGTAAAGAATCTTGAAATACAAGCCTCTCTCACAGCACACTGGCACGACAAGGGCGCGGACTGGCGCGGACTGGCACACACACCGGCACACCACCGGAGCCGCCTAAGAGACTCCGTTAAGAGCGGCAATGCACTCCCGCACCGTGCACAATGTAAAGAAACCCTGTCGCCAACCCGCGCCGCTGAGCAGAGGAGGAAGCGACAGGAAGGAGGACGACGAGAGTGGGACGACCGCTAGGTGGCACCTCGTGTGCTCTAAAGTGGCTGAAAAGTTAATCAATTGTTTTTTGAGCCCCTATGCCCTCGGGACGCGCACCGCGCTACTGCGCCCAAAGATCGGGTGGCTTTTGGGCAGCGGTGGGACCACCCAGTCCGCCGTGAGGCTCGTCAGCGGAGCCGCGCTCTTCAGGTGCGCGTCGGCGGCGTAGATCTGGACCGCGGGCGCGTCGGACGCCGTCGTTTCGCAGCCGGCTCGTGGCGCTTCGGCCGCAGACACGTTGTACACGGCCCGATTGGGGAGGGCGGTGATGCACTCGGCCGGTCGGACGTGCCCTCCCGGCACGTAGACTAGGTGCGCGCGGGACGGCGAGATGGCGGGAGAGCTCGCAGCGGCGGACCCAGCTCGCCCCACCGACGGGTGGCGCGGCCGGTACGCGAAGCGCGAGAAGGTGAGTGCAGAGACCGTGTAGCCTCCCGGGCCCCGCTCGTGCAAACTGACCACTTCGCCGCTCGCCGCGCCCATCAGCATCGAGGAGTAGGCCGCCCCGCCTATTCAGAGCCTCGGAGGCGTGAAGAGAGACGCTGCTGACGCATCGAGGATCTGGCGGCGCCGGCCGGTCGCGCCCTTGTCGAGGGTCGCGTAGTAGTCAAACTCCAACCTGCCGCCGCCACCCGTGGGCGCGTTTGGCGCGAGATCCCAGAGCGTCAGGTTGTAGCGGCCGCCGCTGCGGGAGCTAGGTGCGCTGAGCAGGAGCCCGCCTGCTCGCAGCTGCGGACGGTAAGAGACGTCATCCACGGCTGCTCGGCGCGCCGGGAGAGGAGCCCGCCGTCGGGCGTGGCGACGGCCGAGCCCTCGCAATACGAGCCGGAGATGTTGAGCCTATTTCACGGCATGCGGCGTGAGGAGAGGTCGCCCCGCACACCCTCGCAGCGCTCGCCAGAGGGGCATGTCGAGCCGCGAGGCGTTGCTCCACGTCGCGCCTAATTTCGAGAGGGAGGCCGAAATGCAGCCGAGGTGCAGCCGAGGTGCAGCCGAGGCGATGCTCCGCGCCGCGCCGCCATCCGACGACCAAGCGAGGCCGTGGTTGTGAGAGACGTCGTCAGCCGCCGTCGTGCGCCCGCGCAGGAACATGGCGAGCGTGCCGCCGCCTCCGTACGGCACGATCTGGTTCTCTCCGCCGCCGTAGACCGGCCCGCTCGCCGACGTGCCCGCCGGAGACCCGTGCGCCCACGTCCTGCCGTGGTCGTCGGAGAAGGCCGCGTACGAGCGGACCTGCAATGCAGCCGAGATCGGACCGAGATTCGGACGAAACACGGGGCATGAGGGGAGAGTAGCTGGGGGAGAGTAGTCCGTTGTTTGAACCTGCTTCGCCTCGTCCTCGCCATACATGCCGACGACCAGGCGGCCCGATTGGAGTTGCACGCCGCCGGGCGGCCCGGGCATCACAAACGCCTCTGGCGCGGGGTTGGCCTTGAGGGCCGCGGTGAGGTTCCTGCGCTCGGACCAGGACCTTCCGCCGTCGGCGCTGCTGACGAGGAAGACCTGGACGGAAGCAGCGCCACCGCGGTTAAGACGAAGGCTGTCGCGTGGCGGCTGCGCACGGCGAGAGCCTGCGTGTCGTCGCGAGCGTGGACAAGGTGCACGCTGCCTGCCACAGCCAGGTCCGCAACAGGCGCCGGGTTGCCGATCGTGTGGCCAGCCTCGACCGCAACCTAACCGCGACGGATGGCCGAGTTGCCGAGACGCGCAGTAGCAGGCCATCGCGCCGATCATCGCGCCGTGATCTCATTGCGCTGGGGCTGTGGCTGTGGCTGCGGCTGCGCTTGTACCCGAGATGGCCGTCGCAACCTGCTCAATCGAGGACCAGGTTTGCCCTCCATCAGACGAGCGTCGGGCGACGATCCGAACGTCGCCCTTGTCCGCGCACGAGCCGCGGCGGCCCTCTGCAAACGCGAGAAGCACGGCGTGCGGCGATGCCTCATTGGCGACCCAGACCATCGACGGGATGCGATAGCAGGCGTACGTAACTCCGGCAGTGTCAGGCATGCCTGGCGTGAAGAGGTCGGTCGATGTGAGGTCGGGCGGCGGGGTCAGAGCCGAGAGGAGCGTGGCGAGCAGCAGCATGGTCATAAAGCTCACAGCGACAACGAGGCCTTTTGGTTCAGGCTCCGAGTTATATAACCTGACAGCGCGGGCTGTTTTCCAAAAGAATTTAAACAACACAACTCTCTCTCACAGCACACAGGCTCGACACAGGTGCGAACTGGCGCGTGCTAGAAGAATTCCGCTGGGGCCCTGCGACCGCGCACCCCCCCCTTACTTAGCTCTTAGGGGTCAGGGCTCTCTAGCCCGTAGCCCGATACCGAGCGTCCGGCCAACTGGGTGCGCTTCTCAGCTCCCCGGTCCTGGGCGTGAGGTTACTGACCGCACTCCAAGTGCTCCAAACTCTCAGTGTCATGTCTACTAGCTCCGAGTAGAGGGGGCGTTCTGAAGTTAAGGGGAAACCCGGTACACGGAGCCCTCTCGGAGACCCGTGTTTACTTTAAGGCCCTTGCCCTGCGAACGCGCACCCCCGGGGCTAGGGCTCTCTTGCCCGCAACCCGATGCCAATCATCCGGCCCGCTGGGTGCGCTTCTGAGCTCCCCGGCCCTGGATGTGCGGTTACTGATTGCACTCCAAGTGCTCCAAGTGCTGCGGGGGATCGTGTAGCCCTCCTTTTGGTATATAAAAAAGAATTCCGCTCTTGGAATTCAACAAAACCCCCTCGCAAAAGAGCACGCCTGTCCGACGAGCGGCTTGCTGTGCGGACGCCTTCTTGTGGCTCTCTCGTCGAGAGCGTTTTGCGTCCCGGCGGGTGGGAGAATATGTGATAGGAACGAGTGTATCGCTTTGACGGGTCGACCGTACTTGTTATCAAGACTGATATGACGCACACAGTGACACATCCAGATCGTCTGTGGACCGCGGTGTCTAACCGATCGCAAGTGCTCCGCCCTGGGCGCTGGCAGCGTTGCTGCGTTCCCGCAGAAATTTCTACTTTTGCAAAAAAGAAAACAAGCCTGGGCCCAGATTGCATGGAGGGTGAGCCACGCTGAACGTTCTTTGAGTCACTGCCTTCCCGGCGGGTTTGCTGTAGAGCCTCTACAACAAACTCTACAGCAAAATCGCGCTCTACAGTGCTCTACATCTGCATCGCTCTGTCCCGCGCCGGATGTAGAGCTCTACAGCTCTACAGCGCTCTCCAGCGCTCTACATCTCTACAGCTCTACAGCTCTCTACACTCTACATCCTCTACAACCTGTATGTATGTATGTAGAAAGATGAACCTACCTCCCTCAGCTGCAACGAGCCGCGCTCTCTCTTTTTCCGCTGCCCAGATCTCCCCGCTCGTACATGTGTAGGGTACTCTGTGGTCGATGCGGCAAGTACAGAAAAGAATTCCGCGAAGGGCCCGACGCATACAAAAGTATTTTCGCGCCGCCCGCCCGATGGCCCATCGGCGCCCGCCTCTCGGGCCTCTCGCCAGAGCAGCTCGTCGCCTTCATCGACGAGCAGGCGCCCCTCTGGAGCGCCGCCGCGATGCGCGTGGCGGAGGAGCACGCCGCACGGCTCGTGGAGCAGCCCGAGTGGGTGCTCTCCGAGGTCCTCCTCTCACCGGACCTCGCCCCGCACATCCTCGCCCAGCTGCCGACCGAGGCGCACGCCGTCAAGGGGACGTGCCGCGCGTGGCGCCGCGCCTGGAAGGAGACTCTGAAGAAGCGCGAGAGGCAGCGCCTGCTCGTGATCGGCGGCTACGACGGCGATGGCGAGTGCCTCAACTCGGTGGAGCGGTACGACCCGGCTGAGAACGCGTGGGAGGGGGAGGCGATGGTGCCAATGCCGACGGCACGCACGTGTCCCGGCGTGGCGGTGCTCGATGGCAAGCTGTACGCTGTGGGCGGCCACAACGATGACGGCCGCCTCAGCTCGGTGGAGCGGTACGATCCCGCTACGAATGCGTGGGAGGCGGTGGCGCCGATGACGATGGCGCGGACCTATCTTGGCACAGCGGTGCTCGACGGCAAGCTCTACGCTGTGGGGGGCTACGATTTCGGCCACCTCCCCTGGGTGGAGCGGTACGACCCGGCGTTGGATGCATGGGAGGAGGTGGCGCGGATGGCGAGGGGGCGGCATTCGCTCGGCGTGGCGGTGCTCGACGGCAAGCTGTACGCTGCGGGCGGCTTCTGCAACGACGAGGGCGTCCTCGGCTTGGTCGAGCGGTACGATCCCGCGACAAACGCGTGGGAGGCGGTGGCGCCGATGGCGGAAGACCGGGATAGGCACGCCATGGCGGTGCTGGACGGCAAGCTGTACGCTGTGGGCGGCCACACTGACGGGTGGTTCGGCGGCGTCAGGCTCAGCTCGGTCGAGCGGTACGACCCGGCAGCAAACGTGTGGGAGGCAGTGGTTCCGATGGCGGCGTCTCGGCAATCTATGGGTTTGACGGTGCTCGACGGAAAGTTGTACGCCGCGGGCGGGAAGAAGGAAGAGAACGCGGAGGACGAGGACGACGACAGTGGCGAGGACGAGGACGAACGTAGCTGCCTCAGCTCAGTGGAGCGTTACGACCCGGCGTTGGATGCATGGGAGGCGGTGGCGCCGATGGGGACGGCGCGGGGATCGGCCCTCGCATTGCCGTGCTGGAGGAATAGTGTCGACTGAAGACTTCGTGCTCCACGCACGGACACGCGAATGGTTGCATCTTAGTCCCCGGCGCCCGGAAGAGGAGGAGACGGGCCCGCCCCACGAACCCTGATCGTTCATGTTCGTGATCGCAGCTCGTTGGAACTTGTCTAATCTCTACGCTCTGAAGGTCTGATCGCTCAGCGCAGATTGAGTGCTGAGATTATGCTGCGCCGAGCATGCAGGTCGGGCGCGCACTTGCAAAAACAGTTGGACCAAAATAATAATAATGTGAACCCTCATATTTATTTTTTACTGTGTTAGTGCGAGCCAGCGGCAGAGCGCCAGTCACTTCCCGTGCGCGTGCCCAGTCAGCAGTCTCGAGAGACAGAGATCACGACCCAGTCAGATCAGAGTCAGAGTTGACTCCCGCGATGCGCGAAGGCACGCGGGCTGGCATCCGTGTGGGGTGTGGTGCGGGGCTCGTCTTCGAAAAGTCGGGCACGGCTCTACCCGCAACTTTCTCGCTAACACGCGCGCACCGCCGAGCCTGCGGCGGGCGCGCTGCGGCCCCCCACTCATCGAGAGATCAAAACGGGACGGCCCTGCTCTAGCCTTGCATGTTACTTGCTGTCGTCTGTTGTCGTTGTGCCCTTGTTTGTACTCTTGGCACCGTGGGTGCTGGGGGGGGCGACAGAGAGGATGTGGCCTTGAGTTATGTGTACGCCAACTCAGGGGGTGTGTGGCAGCCATCTGGCTGTGTGTCTTGTGAGCCTGTTTGTGTCTGTATGTCGCTCGTGCGTGCCGTCATCATCTGTCCAGCGTCCACCCATACCGCGTTGGTGTCCAGTCCGAGCCTGGCTGTTCTTCACCTTTCTACCTACCTACCTAGTCTCTAATCGTGCGTGTGCGAGAGACTTTTGTTGTAAAACTCTCCTTGGTGTACAAGTAGCGTGTACCCTGTACCTCTGTGTTAGTGCCAGAACTGCCAGTGCGCGCCAGTCCCGTGCCCAGTGTCGTGCGAGGGAGTTTGCTCGTAAAATTCTTTCCTCTGCCTCTGTGGCCAACATGAATCCTTGTATGTGACTTTCTCTCTTGAATCCTTTTTTGAGCTAGCCTTCGATGTTATGAAACAAACGCAAGGCGGACATGGCATATCGCTCTCGGGCCCACAGACATCCCGCACACCCGCCGCCCCCGCCCGCGCGCGCCCCACCCCGGCCGGGAGAAAGGGGAGTGACAGTTTGGGATGGCAACATAGGAAACGGGTTCTTTTTGTCCTGGCGGGAAACAGCCGGCGCGCGGTTGCCTGCTCCTTCTGCTGCCGACCCTCATGGCTTCCTCCTCCGCCTCAACGACCGACAAGCGGCCTTGGGTCGAGAAATAGTGCGCGCTCACGACCGCGCCGCCTGCTCATTCCTGCGTCGCACCGGCCACGTGCGCTCACGACTCCCGCCATCCCGACTCGCAGCCGGCCCAAGTCGATGGACGAGGTCTCGCACCAGGAGGAGGTGACGGCGGCGCTGCGCAACGCCATCGAGTCGAACAACGTGCGCCTCCCTCGCACTCGCCCGCAAACGCCGCGCCTCTCGCCTCTCTCCAGCTGACCGCTGTCTCGCCGCCCCGCGCAGCTGCCTCACCTGATCTTTTACGGCCCGCCCGGCACGGGCAAGACCTCGACGATCCTCGCGGCCGCGCGCAGCCTCTTCGGCGACGAGGTCTGTGCCCCGTCCCCCCCACAACCGGCCGCGGGCGCCCGGCGCGCTCTCGCGTCGCACCTCGGCGGGCTCACCTCGGCTGGCTCGCCGCGCAAGAGAGACGAAAAGGAGAGGGAGGTTGGCGGCGTGAGCTGCCCCCGCCCGCCTCCCGCAGCTCCGCTCGCGCGTGATGGAGCTCAACGCCTCGGACGAGCGCGGCATCGCCGTCGTGCGCAACAAGATCAAGTCGTTCGCGCAGGCCGCCGCCGCCCCCTCCCCCCTCCCCCCTTCCCCCTCCTCCTTCCGCTCCCGCCTCTCCTCCTCCACCACCACCATACAAACACACACGCGCGCGCGCTGCCACCCCCACCCCCCCCACCCACCCCGGCCCTCGCCGCCCTCGCCGCCAGGTCTCCGTCGGCACGGGCGGCACCAGCCGTGGCCTCCCACCGTACAAACTAATCATCCTCGACGAGGCGAGATGTAGCCGAGATACAGCCGAGATATAGCCGAGATAGCCGTACAAGCTGATCATCCTCGACGAGGCGCGTGCGGGGTGTGTGTGGGGGGGGGGTGCGGGCGGGCGGGGGGGTTGTGGGTGGGCGGGGGGGTTGTGGGTGTGCGGGGCGCGCGGCGCTTCACAGAGCGCCCGGCGCACGCAGGCCGACTCGATGACCAGCGACGCGCAGTCGGCGCTTCGCCGCACGATGGAGACGTACTCCAAGGCTGACCAACCCCAGCCCCCACCCCCACCCCCACCCCCTCCCGCCCAGCCCTCCCTCCCCCGCCCCCCCTCCCTCCCCTCCCCCACCCTTTGAGCCTGCCCTTCCAACCCTCCTCCTCCCCCCCCCCCCCTCAAGGTGACCCGCTTCTGCATCATCTGCAACTACGTCTCGCGCCTCATCCCCCCGATCGCCTCGCGCTGCGCCAAGTTCCGCTTCAAGCCTCTGCCGCACGCCTCGATGGTCGAGCGCCTGTCGGCCATCGCCTCCGCAGAGGGCGTCGCCATCGACGAGCCGACCTTGCGCGAGCTCATGCGCGTCTCGGAGGGTGCGGCCACGAGATCTCGGGAGATGCGGGGGAGATGCGGGGGAGATGTGGGGAGATCTGGGGAGATCCGGGGAGAGATTCCGCATCTGGGGCCTCGAGATCTGGGGAGATTTGGCGAGATCTGGGGGAAGGGCGACACGCCGCCCTCGCCCGGCACGGCCGCGGCTCCCCAACACGCCTCGTCCCCGAGGCGTCTAGATCTCCCCCAGATCTCCCCCAGATCTCCCCAGATCTCCCCATCCAGGCGACATGCGGCGCGCCATCCAGCTGCTCCAGTCGCTCCACCGCCTGCACGGCGACGAGATCGGGCCGCAAGCAGTGCTCGACCTGTCCGCCGCCCTCCCGGACGAGAAGATCGGCGAGACCGCCGATCGTTGGCTGCCGCCCGAGCATGGTTGCGAGTGTGACGGAGGATCGGCTCTCGTGTGTGTAGGCGAGACCTTCGCTGTCTGCCGCGCAAACGACTTTTCAAAGCTGGGCGCGCTCTCCGCCTCCCTCTCCGCACTCACCGGTCATCACCACTTCCGTGTCAGCAGCTCGTGCGTCATAGGCGTACTCGCCTCCTCCCTCCTCGCCGACGGTTACCCCGTCGACCAGATCATCGCGCAGATGCTCGAGCACATCGCAGCCTCGAGCGACCTCGGAGACCGCCAAAAGGCGCAAGTCGCCACGGACATCGCCGTCGCCGACAAGAAGCTCACGGACGGCGCGACTCCCCCAGATTCCCCCCCAGATTCCCCTAGATTCCCCTAGATTCCCTTAGATTCCGCGCAAGAAGCTCACGGACGGCGGCACATCCGCCTCTCCCCTCCCGCGCCCCCACCTCCCCGAGGGGCCTTGACTCTGCAAACCCCTAGGCGCCGGCGACTACCTGCAGCTGATGAACGTGCTCGCGAGCACCTCGCGCGCGCTGGCGGCGCCCGCGTGAGTCTGGAGGGGCACACGCGGTGTTGCGTTCGTCGTGGCGCCGTCCTCGGAACTCTCTAGCGAGGGGCGTGGCGCGCATCTCACGCGCCCTTCGCGTTGAGCTGAGGGAGAAGAGAGATAGTGATACTCGTACGGTAGCGAGACAGCGTAGCGGCACACACAGCGCAGAGTCCGCCGGACATCGGCGGCCCTGATACATTGGTTCCACCGTCTGGTTGCGTGCGCCGTGCGCGCGGTGCGCGGTCTGCGTGTGCGCGCGTGTCATTAGATATTAATTACACTTCTCCGCGTGGCTTAATTTGAGACAATTGTGAATTGAGAGACAATTTCTGTTTTCTCGCGCGCGCGTGTGCACAAAAACGGTCCCGGACCACACGCCCGTCGCTACCTGGCCAGCAGTGGCCGCTCCATGTGCGGTGACGGACCGACCGACAGGGGCGGCGTCGCGCACGAGTCGTCGAGCGCGGCGTACGCGGTTGAGCGCGCCCTGTCGGCGGCCAGCGACGAGGGCCGGGGGGTCGCCAGACGAGCGACGGCCACCTCCACCTCGTCCGCGTCGTCCGTCGCGGCGCCGCCAGGATGGCGCGCCGTGGCGTCGCGGCCCTCGGCATAGTGCTCGAGCTGGAAGCCGACAAAGACGGCGGCCGTGCCGAGGAAGAAGGGCGGCGAGACGTGCGCCTGGCCGAGCAGCACGTCGGAGAGGACGGAGAGCGGTATCATGAGCGAGAGGCCGAGCGTGGCGAGGAGGGGCGACGTCATCACCACCGCCTGCGCGAGCAGCATGTCGGGCAGGACCGTCGAGAGCACGGCGTTGAGCAGCAGGGCCGAGACCGCCTGTTGCGACGGCGGCACCGCAAAGAGCTCGACGCCCGAAAAGTGCAGCAGCGGGAAGAGCGGGCAGAACAGCACCTGAGCGTGGGTCGGCCGGAGGTCCTGGCGGTGGGCGCTGCGTCTGTGAGGCGCTGGGCCGAGAGCGAGGCGCACCGCCGCGGAGAGGCCCATCAACCCAAATAGGGAGGGCATGTGCAACGAGGACTCGCTGGGCACCGCGGCCCGCAGCAGCACCGCATACAGGCCTGACGAGGCGGCCGACATGAGCGCGAGCGCCGCGCCCGCCGCCGAGTCGCTCGCCTGTGGCGAGGGGCGGCTCTGCGCTCAGAGTCGACACATGCGCTCTGCGCTTTGGCATTCTGAGAGGATTGCCGGGTGCTAAACTGGGGATGTCGAGGGTGCGTCCTCTGCTCACCTCGAGCGGGCTCGTGTGCGCCTCGTCGCGTATGGCGGCCGAGTAGGTGACGAGGCCGAGCCCGCCCACCGAGACGCTCACCGTCGCGAGCCGGAGCCAGGTAATCCTCTCCCCGAGCACGAGCCTCTCTGCGAGGAGCGTCCAGACGCCGGTCGACGCATTGATTGTCATCGTCTCTGAGGCGGAGGTGAGGTCGAGCGAGAGGAAGTAGGTGTAGTTTAGCGCAAAGTAGCAGGGCGCGAGGAACAGCGCCGGCCGCAGCACATGGCCGAGCGCCTCCCACGACTCAAAGACGTACGAGGGCTTGGCCGAGCTAGCGAGCGGCTCCGCCGAAAGCTGGGCGTACGAGTGAGAGGAGCAGGAGCGGAGGCGCGAGTAGGCGGAGCCGAGCAGGTAGGACGAACACAGCATCACGGAGACGTACGAGAAGAAGAAGGGCTTCTCAAAGTCCAGCTCGTCAAAGAGCGACTGGATGGCAATGCCCGAGCCGACATAGAGCACCGCGACCAGCACGACAAGCAGCGCACCCACCCGCTGCCGCCACGCGTGGTCGTCTTTCATGGCCCAGCGCGGCGAGTGTGCGTCACGGTAGCCAGCTCGCCGCGAGACACGTGCCACCGCGCGCAGGAAGCAGGCGACCCGCAAAACTTGCGTCCCCGGGTCGTGTTCGCCGGCCAGGTGAGAGAGACCTCGCTGCCCGAATCTGAAGGCGCAAAGTTCTCTTTAGGAGTCGCTCTGCGGCTCGCATGGTGTACCTGTGTTAGTGTAGTGCCGCGGTGCAAAATCCTTAAATAAATAAATAAAACGGACGGGACACACCAAACAAGGGGTGGGAGAAGGACAGACAGGGTCCCCACCTGCGCGAGCAGGATTCTCTTGGAAGGACGATCAGGGACACAGGGGAACGCGGGAGCGGGAGCGCATCGGGACACGGAGGGGGGCTGGGCAGGGTTCACCCACACGACAGGGTCCCAGGGATCCCCAGCTTGTTCTCTCATGCCGCCGGCGCCAACGGTGCCCACTGCTGGTGTCCTGCGTCAAAAAAATGTATCAGAGCACAGCACAGAAGTCTGCAGTCATAGTCAAAACGCGGACAGGCCGCGGCGCAAGCCCGGGGGGGCGGGGGGGGGCCGCTGTGCGGCGAGCTGAGTGAGAGCCCCGAGCCGCGAGCGGCTCTCGGTCTCGCTCACCCCGCCCCTCAGTGAGTGTGTTACACCCTGTGTGTTGCAAGAGACACTAGAGAGGGCAGCGAGAGCTGAGACGCTGAGACGCCCTGAGACCGTGAGAGCGCCACTCTAGGGAGGGCCTGGAGCGCAGAGCCACGAGAGCGCAGAGGGCATGCTCCGCTTGCGGCGAGCGAGGGCAAAGGGTCTTGCTCTTGGGAGGTACGGGGACACAACGCGACACGGAGAGGGGCTGGGCAGGTTCACCCCCACACAGGAGAACATCCGTTTGCAGCAAGTGCACTTGGAGCACTTGCAAGTGCGTTTTATTTTTGAGCTTAGCCTTCGATGTTATGAAACAAACGCAAGGCGGACATGGCATATCGCTCTCGGGCCCACAGACATCCCGCACACCCGCCGCCCCCGCGCGCGCCCCACCCCGGCCGGGAGAAAGGGGAGTGACAGTTTGGGACGGCGACAGCCCGAGTATGTTCCGAGTCCTGGCTCAACAACGCAGGTTTCAAGAGGGGGTGGTCCGGCTCACAAGTCCGGCTCACGCGCCTCGAGCTGACCATCTACCGCACTGAGCACTTCCGCCCCCTCGCTCCCAACCCACCCACCTCGCCTCGGGCCGCGCCGCGCAATCTCGGGCGATCTCGCGCTATCTCGGGCGATCTCGGGGCCGCGCCGCGCTATCTCGGGCGATCTCGGAGCGTCGCTCGCGCGGCGTCACACCTGCTCAAAAAGGAAGGAGGTTGGAGGCAGGAGGTCACGCCCCATCCAGAGCGCCGTCGTCGCCGGGTTTTTGGCCCCCGGGTCGTCGCCCGACGGTTGCTGCGCGGGGCAGCAGACCATCGGACGGCGCGACGACGCCCCGTCCGGCACGCTCCCCCCTCCACTCGGCTATTGCCGCACGAGCGCCCTCAGCGGCGGAATTTTTCCCTCGCGCTTCCTTGGGCCCCCGGCAACGCCGACGGACTTCCCGTCCGTACCATTTATTTTTTCAAGGAGCACTTGTGTCGGAAGGCGGCATTGCAAGCACGTCGGTCTCCTTCTGCTTGCCCCGGGCCCGCACCACAGGCTCCACCATGCTTGAGATTCTGCTTGCGTACCACGCAATCTGGCCGCTAGCGATGGGAGCAGCCCTTGGCGTGCTGAACGCAGTACCTTCCGTCGCGGAGGGGGAGACGGCCGGGTACCGAAGCTCGAGGATCAGGCTGACCCGGCGGGTGTCCGCCGCACTGTTGACCCGGTTGTCCTCTGCCATGAGTGAGAACCGACGAACCACCTCGATGAGGCTGACAGCAATCGACGAAGCACCTCGACGAGGCTCGATTGGTATTGATCAGACACGAACAACTCCGACTGGGAGACACTCACTTTGGCGTAACAGATATGGCGGACGGCATCTCCAATGAGTTGGCGGATATGCGAGCCCAGATAGCAGCGCTCACGGATAGCAGGTCTCCACGCTCACGACGAAGGAAGGGAGTGATCAATCCGTGTAGCGTTTGACTTTGATGGACTTCTTTCCGGCGGGTGCTATCGGGCCCGCGATGCCTGGCCGAGCCAGCTGCGACCCCGTTTAGGCACACTGTAGCCAGTACGCCGTCTCGAGACTTGCGCTTGCGTTTAGTTTTGCCTTCCGGGGGGGTATCGGCCTCTTCGGCGTGGGGTCGATTCCGTGAATCCGTGTCGCGTGTGCGCCCCGGCGTGTGGAGTGGTGCGGACCGAAAGGTGGGTAGCAGGAGTTAGGTACATTAGAACAGGAGTTAGGTAAGAGGAAAAGGGCTCCCTAACTCAAGCTACCTTACCTTAAGTTCGGCACCCTGCGGTATGTGACGCGTCGTTTTGGCTTTTGGGTTTTTTGCACTTTGCAGTGTGTGTCACTGCGTGTGACGGGGACCTCTGTGCATGACGCCTGACGTAAACGCACGACCGCCGAGTCTCGTCACGGACACGGCCCCCACCAACAGCCCTATCTACAACATATGGACGGTCCACAGAACAACTATGGGGCCACTAATCATCTAATCTCTGCTTGGCTCGCGCGACGACGAGTCTAATCTCTGCTTGGCGCGCCGACGCCCGGCCGGGCTCGTTCCAGCTGCCAAAGTCCACCTGGAAGGGCCGTTGACGCAGCCACTTGGACAGCACCCACTTGCTTGTGGACGACAGCACGACCTCGCCTGCGTGCGCGCTGCTTGGGTCGACGCGGCCGTCGCAGCGCGTGTTCCACCAGAGCAGTGCGTCGCCGCACCGCGGCTGCACGCTCAGCTTGGCCCTAGGAAAGTGCGTCGCGCCGCCATCCGCTTGCGCGAGCGAGCAAAGGGCTCGTCGCAGAGCAAGGCAAAGTAAAAACCCGCAAGAAAAACAACAACCCGCCTGTTTTGGATGATCCACCGCTTGGTCTCCGCTTGCTGTGTTGGCGGCAGGCCGGGCAGTGTTAGCCTAAGCTTTTGCTGAGTCGGCGGCAGTGCTGCGGGTGTCTCACGCCTAGCTGGCTGATGAGTGCGTTTGCGACGGCTGTCGAGGCCGCGCTTCCCGAGACAGGCGCCGTGCCTGACAGCTTCTTCCTCGGCCTCTCCTGCATCCTCCTCCTCGGCTACACGGTGTTTCGGGTGTTTGGCGCGTTGCGGCTGCCGGGTGCTGTCGGTGTGATGCTCGCGGGCTGCCTCCTCTCCCCTTTCGCTGGGCCGGCGATACATGTCGTGCTACCGTCCATCCAGGCGAGCGCCTAACGAGCGCCTAACCCTTACGGCCACTGCCGCTGCCGCCATCTTCTCACCTCCGCCGCCATCGCGTCTTCAGGAGGTCGCCTTCATCCTCCTCCTCTGCCGCGCCGGCTGCGAGACAAACATGGCCGACCTGAACACGAGCGCTGTCCTCCTGGCGACGCTCCCGCTGCTCGCGGACCTGACTGGCATCGGCCTGTGGGTCCACTTTGCGTGGGGCGCGACGGTGCCGCAGGGCCTGCTCGCCGGCGTGATGCTCGCGCCGCTCGGAGAGGGGCTCGTCCTGCCGCTGATGCACGAGCTGCGCGGCGAGGGATCTCGGCCCTCAAGGCCTGTCACGGAGCCTCCTCGGAGCCTTCTCGAGCCTTTCCGTAGGCGAGGACCTCGGCCCTCTGCCGAGGCTGATCGCGTGCGTCGCTCCGCTCGAGGGCACGCTCGCGCTCTTCCTGTACGCCTTCCTCGCCACGCTCGGCTCCGGCTTGCCCTCTCCGATGTGGTTCCGGCTCCTCTCCGGGCTCGTGGTCCGGCTCGCCGCTTCGGTCGCCCTCGGCGCCGTTGTCGGCTGGGGCGTGGCTCGCTTCTGCGCGCTCTCCGACCGGCCCGTCCTCGCGGGCCGAAGGGTGTTTGTGGGCGGCGGAGTGGAGATGCTGCTCGTGCTGCTCGGCGCCTCGCTCTTCTCGTACGGCCTGTCGGGCGAGTTTTCGGACGGGGAGCCGCTCGTGCCGAACGTGCTCGACCTGCTCGTCCCCGACGAGTGGAGCATGTCCGACCCCTCGTGCTCGGTAGACGCCCCCCGTGCTCGGCACTGCGGCGGGATGCTGCTGCAGGAGCTCGCCCTGCTCTGCACCGGCTTCTTCGGCGCCCACTTCTCGCCCGCGCTGGCGCGCGAGGCGGAGGCGCTCTGGTCGGGGCTGTGGGTCTTCGGCGCCCTCTTCCTCTTCGCCGCGATCGGAGTCTCGATCGACGACGTGCCCGCCAAGGTGCGCCTGCTGCCGCAGCTGCTTCCCGCCCTCGCCTGCGGGCTGGCCTGCCGGTTCGTCGCCTGCCTCTGCGTCTGCTCCGCCACGGCGCGCTCGCGGCAGAGCGCTTTCCCGCAGCGTGGCGCCTGGCCGGGCCTGCGGCACGTCGCGCTCGAGGCCGCCTTCTGCTTCGCCGCCGGCCTGCCCCGCGCCACGATCCAGGGCGTCCTCGCGAGCCGGCCATACGTCGAGCAGCTCTACCCCGGGGTGGTGGTATGCGGCAGGGAGCTGGCCGCGCGGGGAGGGCTGCTGCAGTCCCTCGCGCAGGCGACCCTCGCCCTGATGGCGCCCTTCGGCCAGCTCGTCCTCATGCTCACCGCGCGGCCGATCCTGCACCGCCTCCGCTACTCACGCGCCGTCCTCGCCACGGAGCGGCAGATCGAGTCGGTCTGCGACTTCGAGCCGCCGCAGATGGCGATCCTCACGTTCCACCAGCAGAGCGAGCGGGGCTCCCGCGGCATCGACGTGCTCGGCGCGCTCCACTACCGCCTCTCGTCGGTCAGAGCCAACACCATCCTCGGCCCCACCGTCGAGGAGGTCAGCGGTAAGGCGGATTCGTCGGCCGCCGCGTCGTCGAGCACCCTCAGGGCCTCGACGGTGCGCTCCTCCACGGTGGGTCCTCCGCGGGTCAGCCAGGCACCCTCGCGCGAGGAGGGGGAGGCTCCCAGCGGCAAGGCGGGGGCAGTGGCGCCGTCCGAGAAGCCGTTGCAAGCGCAGCTGGGCGGGGGCCGCCTCAGGCAGTGCCTCACCGGCCTGGATCAGGTGGTCGCTCTTGTGCGCGCGCGCAATGCGTCGTCGGGCACCGAGATGACGTGAGGGTGAGCGCTCGAGCACCTTCTCGATCTCGACTACGTCGTACGTGTAGACGCGCGCATACGGGCACACCCCGCGCGCATGTGGACACGCCCCGCGCGCGTCAGCGGGCGTATGTGCACACCGGAGCGCTGGGCCGCGTCGGCCGGGGCCGCGCCGTGTACTTTACTATTATTTTGTACCTCATGCATGTGAAAATAGACCACACTGGAGCGAGAAACGGCAACCATATCTCGCGACGTAGACCGTAGGCACCGTACGGCATATCAACCTACATCCTAAATAAAACAACAACAATAACCGACGAACGACGCGTGAGACGTGAGACACCGCAAATCTGCGTCGTCGCACGGTCACCTTTGGCGGGTTCGGCACACGGTTCATCATCCCCCCTAATCTCTCCGCCGGAGGTCCCGCGCATCCCGCACAAGCAAGGACGTACGCCGGCCCATCTTCGGCTGCTCTTCCGGCTCATCTTCGGTGCAACCGCGTCGCTCCTCAGAAGGCCGGAACTCTAGCGGGAAGTGCACGGGCAGTAGCCGTCGGCGCACGTCTTGGCTGTGGACTTCATGTGCATCGGCTCGTCGACGAACTGCATGGTCTCAGTGTCGGCGCCGCCGATGCAGACCTTGGAGGCTTCTGCGCCCCAGTACTTCTCGCAAACCGTCATGTACTCCGGCGAGGCGACGATCTGCGCGCGGGCGGTGCGCGGCGGGCGGTAGGCGGGTGGACGCGCCGGTGGCGGCTGGCAACCGCCGATACGGACGTCGAGGCGTTTGAGAGGTGTGGGCCGTGTGCAGGTGCAGCGGGTAAGTGCATAGGACGGAATGCGAAGGGGGCAGTGGTTGGGAGGCGGGGAGCGTGGGAGGTGAGGGGAGAGGGGGGAGGGAGGGGACGAGGGAAGGGGAGGGGGGATGAAATGGATGGGGCGGGTGGGGTTCGGGGGGAGGCGGGGGCGGGGGCGTGCCTTTTCGATGCAGGGGTTGAGCACGCCGGCGAGGCCGGAGCCCTTCTTGGAGATCGCGAGGGTCGTGCCGTTGACGGACCACTGGTCGAGGCCGGTGTGGATGAATGTACGCGCGAGCTCTCATCAACGGATTGCACAGCATGAAGGAAAGCCGGCGAGACTGGACTGTCGAAGCCGACCTCGCAAGTAAGCGCTCATTAACGGCGCGCGCCCTTGCACTTCACCACATATCATCTCATGGCCCGTGCCCCACCCCTGACGTAGTTCTCGTCAAGGTCAACAACGGGTTTCAATACGACAAACTTCCCTACAACGAGCGACACCGCTACAGCAGGCTGCTACACTTCCTGCCTCCCGACCTCTGCAACGAGTTCTTTCCGACGAAACAACTTCCATCCGATGCGCTGCCGCCTCGAGTCCTCATGGGCAGGAGCCTTCTGGGCAAGCCCGTGATGCGTCTGCCATACGAGGGCAGCGCATTCATCGAGGCGGACGACGGCAGCGGCAACCTGCCTGAATACGCCGACATATCTCTCATCTCCGAAACCAAGGCCGCCATCTCTATTCCGTTCGAGTGGCCGCTCTGCATCGATCCGACGCACATCATCACGAGTGACGGATCACAGGTCATCTCTCCCTATGCAGTCGATGATGTGACGCGGGACACGCGTCTATCCGAGCTGCAAAAGGACATCTCCGTCTTCGCATCTCGGCGTCTCCACCGCCGGGTCTGCTCTGTCGTGCTATTCGAAGAGTGCGGCCAGTCTGACCACGAACCTGCCGTGACGCCGTGGTGCGACCCGAGCGCGACTGCCAAAGAGGTCGATCTCTTCAACGTCGCGGCGGGGGACCGGCTGCGTGTCTACATCGTAGTCGATTCACTCGCCGCCGTCCCTGAAGACGAGCCATTCTGTCCGATCGTTCCTCAACAACCTGTCCCACCGCCGCCTCCGTTTCCGCCGTGCGCCTGCGACCGCACACCAGCGCTGCCGATGCCAGCCTCGCCAGAAGCTCCGCCGCCAATGCCGCCACTGCCAAACATTCCCACTGCCGACGCGTTGCAACGAGCAAGAGCCCTCGTACGTGACGGTGCCGGAACCATACGACCCCGAGCGCCCGCCCACAACTTTCTCGCCCGTCGTATGATCGAGGCGAATCGTGCTGATCGAGAAGACAGCGTCAATCAAAGAATTTTACATAGGTACCCTGAGGTACTCAGCCAAAGTACTTTAAAACAAATCTTCAAAGCGCCCTGTGGCACAGCTCGCGTTACAAAACCTTGATTTGACCATTTGCGCAAAAAGGTACATCTCGGTGCCTTCCAGAGGCAGCTGCGACCCCGCAGGGGTTGAATTACGTGCCGGGCACGCGCAATCGCCTGTCCTTCGTCCTGGTGGGTGCAGAAGATCCGATGCAGGCCAAAGCCCTGTCGGAACGGCTCGAACGCGAAACCGGCCTCCAGGCCCGGACCCGCGACGAATTCGCGCAGGACGGGATCGATTTCATTATCGAGAACACGGGTATCCCCGCTGAATTTCGAGATTACCGTCGCGCTCGGTTTCATTTGCCGGGTGGCAATCGTGGGG